CCTGGGCTGCCTCAAATTACGCCTGAACCATACAACCAGAGATCTCAGGCACTTTTTCATACAAAAGTCCATCAATCATCTCTATCCTGAACCCTCAGCCGATAGGACTTCAAGTGAAGCCACAACAGCAATCACACGAAAACAGTGGATGACTGTGCGGAGAAGGTCATTGGCATCTGAGTAAAATTTGGTTGGTTTACTTCCCAAAAAAACAATTTGTGGAGGAAAAACATAAATATTAGCGCATGGAGCTCGCGGGCAGAAGGTTCTGTTGCAACATGAAGACGACTGGTATCCAACCGGCTATTGGCGTGGGAATCTCCGCCCTCTTTCTCGTGCTCGCCGTGGCGCTAGAACAGTGGCCTTGTGGCACCCTCCTGGACACCTGCCTGAATTCGTTCAGCAAGGACGCCTACAAGATCGTGGGGGGTCTCCTTGTCAGCTCAATCGTGGTGAACCTCCTCGCCTTCGCAATTGTCCTCTTGAACTGTCTACGCTCAACAGCCTGGACCGGACCACTTGAACTGGCGCTAATCTGGCTTGGAGGCATCCTTGCCATAGCTGGGGTCGCATATTATTACGCCAACGTGGATAAAACATACAGTCCTATGCTGGCTGTAATTGGAATGTCCTTCGCGCTGGCCGTGGCGATCAATCTTTCTGTCGGTATGGTAACTGTACATCGCGGCTGATGAGAATTACTCAATATAAACACGCGAATGCATCGACGTACGCGTACTGAAATCTTAAATCATCCAAATAAACCAGTTATTCTTTCGCTGCAATTTCGTTTATTCCCTGAACGGCCTGCCTTTTGTAGACTTTTACAGAAAGGTTGAAACATACGAGATGCAAGTACTCATTCGCGTATTCATTCATAGCCTTTGGTGTCTTTACGTAAATGTTAACAGAAGTAAATATTTAATCAAAGTATACCTGATAGACCACAGGACACTCGGGGAAACTGCGCTCAGAAAGATTCCTTTGGGAAATTTTGGTCCAGACGCGATTTGCTGGTTCACGCTTTACTGTTGAGAATCTTGAACAGTGAATAATAAAGGCAACGAGTAGGATGTGTTATTATGACCCTACTGCACGTACGTGGGTACACATTCGGTTTGACTATAAATGTCTATTTTCGGCTGTCGGAGCTGAAACCCTAGCGTAGATTAGAATACACAAACAAGCTAACATGAGGGCTTTTAAAGAAAATAAGGCAAAGTTGCCTGATAATTGGAACCAAAACTCGTTCGAGCGCTTGAAACCCAGCAGTCAGTTTCTGTTCTTCTCTAATTCTTGGGCATACTTCTACCCCTGCGCACAACGTCTGTGGGAATGCTGAAGAACAATTTGTAGGTCTGTTTGCCCCTGGTGACCTGCACTGTGGCTCGAAACGTTCGCGACCACGTTAGCTCACTGGGGCTTAGCAAAGCACCCTCTGCTTTGTTTAGTTACCAAGGCAATTAGTGCGTGAACTTAGGGTAAATCCTTCGGAAAAGACCTCTTCAGGCTTGGTCCGAAGGTTTATATGAATATCTGAGGAAAATGAAGTGTTCACCGGGTCAAGGGCCGGATAAAGGGCCTCATTGGTCATAATTAAGGTAAACTTACGAGGGAATTGCGCATAATCTAAACCTCCCGAGGGTTAACGAAACATACA